CAACACAGGAGACACGGGTTCGAGCCCTGGTCCGGGAAGATCCCACATACTATGGAGCAACTAAGCCTGTGCACCACAACTACTGAGCCTGCGCTCTGGAGCCCGCAAGCAACTACTGAGCCCACGTGCCACAACTACTGAAGCCTGCGCGCCTAGAGCCCATGCTCTGCAACAAGAGAAGCCACTGCAATGAGAAGCCCGCGCACCGCAATGAAGACTCGACACAGCCAAAAATAAATAAATAAATAAATTTATAAAGTAAAAAATAAAGCTCAGTAGAGCTTCCTAGGTGGTGAACACATTGATGGGGTGGGTGGGTGATGTGCCCAGATTCCACGATGAGGGGGCACAGAAACTCTGGGTCTCTTCCCCAACCCTCCAGTCTCAGATCTTGCCCTACGCTTCCTTTCCATTTCGTGGTTTCTGATTTGTATCCTTCACTACAAAACTGTAACCGTAAGTCCCTGACTTATAATGGTTTGATGTTGCGAAAGCAATACAAATTTAGTAGACACCTTACTTCGAATTTTGAATTTTGGTCTTTTCCCAGGTTAGCCATATGCAGTACAATACACTCTTGTGATGCCAGCAAGCCAAGGCTCCCAGTCAGCCACACAATCACAAAGGAGCATAAACAACCAATATACTCAAAACCATTCTGTACCCCTATAACCACTCTTTCACTTTCAGTAGGCTATTCAATAAATTACATGAAACATTCAACACTTTATTATAAAACAGGCTTTATGTTAGACGATTCTGCCCAAATGTAAGCTAATTTAAGTGTTCTGAGTATGTTTAAGGTAGGTTAGGCTAAGCTTTGATGTTTGATAGGTTAGATGTATTAAATATGTTTTTGACTTACAAAATTTTCAACTTAAAATGGGTTGACTGGGACATAACACCATTGTAAATCAAGGGAGATTTATACAGTGCTTTCAGTGAGCTGAGTCATCCTAGCAAATTATCAAATGTGAGGGGATCAGACATGAGAACCTCCATACTTATGACCAGTTGGTCGGAAGTCCAAGTGGACCCTTAGACTTACAGCTACCACTGAAGTGGGGACAGTCTTGCAGAGGACTATCCCCTAAACCTGTGGGGTCTGACACTAACTCCAGGTAGTGCCAGAACTGAATTGAACTGCACGTCATTTGAATTAACTGGGCGTTAGTGTCAGAACATGAAAGGTCCTTTCAACAAACACAGCCACAAAATATTATTTATACGCACACACACTTAAATTATAAATTTGCAAATATAACATGACAATAAACGTACATTTTTAAAAATCTTAAGTTCATATCAGCCTCCAAATCATACCACCTGGAAATCACATTAATGCCTATGGATCCACTTTATTATTTTTCACAGCTGTACAACAATATTATACTGTGTGGGTACTTCATGCTTTTTTCAGCCAATATCCAATAGCTGTTTGTTATACTTGCTGCAAGGCATAACCCTGTGCAGATGCTCTCGACACAGCCAAAAATAAATAAATAAATAAATTTATAAAGTAAAAAATAAAGCTCAGTAGAGCTTCCTAGGTGGTGAACACATTGATGGGGTGGGTGGGTGATGTGCCCAGATTCCACGATGAGGGGGCACAGAAACTCTGGGTCTCTTCCCCAACCCTCCAGTCTCAGATCTTGCCCTACGCTTCCTTTCCATTTCGTGGTTTCTGATTTGTATCCTTCACTACAAAACTGTAACCGTAAGTCCCTGACTTATAATGGTTTGATGTTGCGAAAGCAATACAAATTTAGTAGACACCTTACTTCGAATTTTGAATTTTGGTCTTTTCCCAGGTTAGCCATATGCAGTACAATACACTCTTGTGATGCCAGCAAGCCAAGGCTCCCAGTCAGCCACACAATCACAAAGGAGCATAAACAACCAATATACTCAAAACCATTCTGTACCCCTATAACCACTCTTTCACTTTCAGTAGGCTATTCAATAAATTACATGAAACATTCAACACTTTATTATAAAACAGGCTTTATGTTAGACGATTCTGCCCAAATGTAAGCTAATTTAAGTGTTCTGAGTATGTTTAAGGTAGGTTAGGCTAAGCTTTGATGTTTGATAGGTTAGATGTATTAAATATGTTTTTGACTTACAAAATTTTCAACTTAAAATGGGTTGACTGGGACATAACACCATTGTAAATCAAGGGAGATTTATACAGTGCTTTCAGTGAGCTGAGTCATCCTAGCAAATTATCAAATGTGAGGGGATCAGACATGAGAACCTCCATACTTATGACCAGTTGGTCGGAAGTCCAAGTGGACCCTTAGACTTACAGCTACCACTGAAGTGGGGACAGTCTTGCAGAGGACTATCCCCTAAACCTGTGGGGTCTGACACTAACTCCAGGTAGTGCCAGAACTGAATTGAACTGCACGTCATTTGAATTAACTGGGCGTTAGTGTCAGAACATGAAAGGTCCTTTCAACAAACACAGCCACAAAATATTATTTATACGCACACACACTTAAATTATAAATTTGCAAATATAACATGACAATAAACGTACATTTTTAAAAATCTTAAGTTCATATCAGCCTCCAAATCATACCACCTGGAAATCACATTAATGCCTATGGATCCACTTTATTATTTTTCACAGCTGTACAACAATATTATACTGTGTGGGTACTTCATGCTTTTTTCAGCCAATATCCAATAGCTGTTTGTTATACTTGCTGCAAGGCATAACCCTGTGCAGATGCTGTTTTGTATATGTGAAGGTGTATCTTCAAGGCAAATTTATACATCTGGGCCTGCTGGATCACGCGTAAATGCGTGTGAATTTGGTAAAGACTGCCAAAAGCCCCTGCATACGGGTATACCATTCTGGACTCCCATCAGAAAGGTATGGGTACCTGTTTCCACAGAGCCTCACCAATTGTGCATTGTCCAACTTTTGAATTTCTGCTATTTTTCTAGGTGAGAAAGGTATATCAGTGTAGTTTTAATTTGCATGTCCTTTATTATGAGTGAATTTGAGGATTTTTTCATACGTTTAAAGTCTATTTGTAGGGCTTCCCTGGTGGCGCGGTGGTTGAGAGTCCGCCTGCCGATGCAGGAGACGCGGGCTCGTGCCCGGGTCCGGGAGGATCCCACATGCCGCAGATCGGCTGGGCCCATGAGCCATGGCCGCTGAGCCTGCGCATACGGAGCCTGTGCTCCGCAGCGGGAGAGGCCGCAACGGTGAGAGGCCCGTGTACCACAAAAAAAAAAAGTCTATTTGTAGAGGTTTTTCTGAGACTCGGCTATTGATGTGTTTTTCCTATTTTTTTCTACTAAAGTCTTTTTGTTTTCATTCAATTTTTAAGAGTGCTGTGTATGGTAGAAAAATTAACTCCTTCTTTATAGGATAAGGGGCAAAGATTTTCCCTCACTTTATCATTTGTCTTTGGATTTTGTTTATAGCCATGTGAATTTTTTTAAAAATCACTGATATTCAATGTTTTATTGTTTCCAGATTTCAGATCATATACAAAATCTTTCTTCAAGTTTTAAATAATGCACCTAATTCTATTATTTACATATTTTTCAACATTTATATCCCTGATTGGAGATCTAACTCAGATTGGAGTTTATCCTGATGTAGGTATGAGGTTCAGAGCCAACTTATCTTTCCACGAGTAGCTAGCCAGTTGTCAACATCACTTATCTTAAAAGTACATCTTCCCCCTGGGGAAAAGAGACACCACCTTTATCATATATGAAATTCCGTATATTCTTGGATCTATTCCTGGAATTTTATTCTGTTGCATTGGTCTGTCTGTCTCATCGGGAGCCAGTACCACAGTGTCAGTTACAGATGCCTTGTAATAAGTTTAAATACCTGGTAGGGCTAGCCTTTCTCACTACGACTTTTACCAAAGTTTCCCTAACTACCCTTGCATGTGTATTTTTCCACATGAATCAACCAGTCTAGCTCCAAAAAAAAATACCTTACTGGAATTTTAATGGGACTGCATCAAATGTATGTATTAAATTAAAAGAACTGACAGTGTTACAATACTGAGTCACCATATCTAAAAACGAGGAAGGTCTTTTCATTTGTTCAAGGCACTTTTACATCTTCCAGGAATGTTTTAAAGTCTTCCTCATTGAGATTTAAGATTACTTCTTCAGAAGTGTATCCCTATGTGCGTGCTTATTTTTTATGTAGCTGCTGTAAATGGGGTCCTCTCCCACCACAGCTAACTGGTTATTATCTGGGAATATAAAGGGCATTGACTTTTTACCTTACTATGGCCTGCTGCCTTACTGAACTGTTTCATTTGAGTTTGTGTTAATTTTATCATAGGTTTTCCTGGATTCTTCCACAGTTTGCTTCTTTTGTTTCTAAGACTTATGCATTCGATACATTTTTACCTTAGGATATTCTCATTTCCCAAAACTCACACATAAATTGAGACTTTATATTTTATATTATTGTATATATAATGTTATTTCAATTTTAGAATAGACTCTGCATAAAATCCTACTACACCATACATTCTCTTACTCTTGGAGTAACTAAGACAATGACAACCTAGGTGAACATTTCCTAGATTCCTAGGGCCTCCACCTAAGCTGACCTCAACACCCACAGACCACCGTGCCATCCCTAAGTCCAGCACCACTCGGTCTATGACAGGGAAGCACTTTTACATGAGGGTTCCACTGGGAATCTCAACACCAATCTCATCATGCTGCTCAGCCTGTCATCTTCAGCCACAACACTGAGGAAAGTCCCTCTAACCATCTACCCTTTCCTCAGTTATGTCTATTCTACTACGAGCTCATTTCCACAGGGCTGAGAAAGATTTTCACAAAACTCATGTTAAAATGGCCAAAAAAAGTATAAAACTCTCAAAACAGGAAGCAAAGAAATAAAACTGTCCAATTATGAGCTCAGATGGACTATGTAACAATACAGATGCTAGATGTCAACCAACTGTAGGATCCCAGCTCACCATTTCCCAAAATTACAGTACCTTTTCTTTCTTCATACGATCCATAATCTTGCCGAGGTCTTCAACATCAATGACAGATTTTAGACTCTGATGGTCCTCAGTACCAGACTCTTCCTCACTGGTGCTCCCAAAGGGCTCTTCCTGCTGGAACATCAATGCTTCAGAAATACACTGTGCAAAGTAGCAAAGTGTCTAATATTCCTTCCCAGATTGTAAGTTCACTGGATGGACTTGAGATATTTTGGGCTAGAGGTCAGCCAGCCTCAGGCCAAATCTAAAGGAGCCCATCATTTATACATTATCTATCGCTACTTTCTTAATAATATGACAGAGCTGATAGCTGCAACATTAACAATATGGCTACAAAGCTTCAGTGGAACCATGGAGTCTTAACCACTGGAGTCTCAACCACTGGACTGCCAGGGAAGTCCCTACATCTTAAAAGCGTAATTTTAAACGTATTATGGAGTTGGCAAAAACTTAAGGAATCCAAAGAGGACAAATATGAACTAAAAAGGGGAATCCTAGGAGATAAGTGACAAATGGAGCTGAGAGTATCTGCTGAATCTGTGGAACCTATTTTGACAGCAGGACAGGACAAGGGAAGAGCAGGTAAAGTTGAAGGGATGATACTAGGAGAAAATTCTTACACAGGACACAAGAGTCAAAGCTGGGGACCCGGACTTCCGGGAAGATGGCGGAAGAGTAAGACGTGGGGATCACCTTCCTCCCCACAGATACACCAGAAATACATCTACACATGGAACAACTCCTACGGAACACTTACTGAACGCTGGCAGAAGACCTCAGACCTCCCAAAAGGCAAGAAACCTCCCACGTACCTGGGTAGGGCAAAAGAAAAAAGAATAAACAGAGACAAAAGGATAGGGACGGGTCCTGCGCCAGTGGGAGGGAGGTGTGAAGGAGGAAAAGTGTCCACACACTAGGAAGCCCCTTCGTGGGCGGAGACTGTGGGTGGCGGAGGTAGGGAGCTTCAGAGCCGCAGATGAGAGCACAGCAACAGGGGTGCGGCAGGCAAAGCGGAGAGATTCCCGCACAGAGGATCAGGGCCGACTGGCACTCACCAGCCCGAGAGGCTTGTCTGCTCCCCCACCGGAGCGAGGAGGGCACTGGTCGGAGCGCAGGGAGAGGACTGGGGTTGGCGGCGTGAACACAGCCTGCAGGGGGTTAGTGCGCCACGGCTGGCCGGGAGGGAGTCCGGGGAAAAGTCTGGAGCTGCCGAAGAGGCAAGAGACTTTTTCTTGCCTCTTTGTTTCCTGGGGCGCGAGGAGAGGATTAAGAACGCTGCTTAAAGGAGCTCCAGAGACGGGCGTGAGCCGCGGCTAAAAGCGCGGACCCCAGAGACAGACATGAGACGCTAAGGCTGCTGCTGCCGCCACCAAGAAGCCTGTGTGCGAACACAGGTCACTATCCACACCCCCCTTCCTGGGAGCCTGTGCAGCCCGCCACAGCCAGGGTCCCGGGGCCCAGGGACAACTCCCCCGGGAGAACGCACGGTGCGCCTCAGGCTGATGCAAGGTCACGCTGGCCTCTGCCGCCGCAGGCTCGCCCTGCACTTCGTGAACCTCCCTACCCCCGGCCTGAGTGAGCCAGAGCCTCCAAATCAGCAGCTCCTTTAACCCCATCCTGTCTGAGCAAAGAACAGACGCCCTCCGGCGACCTACATGCAGAGGCGGGGCCAAATCCAAAGCTGAGCCCCTGGGAGCTGTGAGAACAAAGAAGAGAAAGGGAAGTCTCTCCCAGCAGCCTCAGAAGCAGCGGATTAAAGCTCCACAATCAACTTGATGTACCCTGCATCTGTTGAATACATGAATAGACAACGAATCATCCCAAATTAAGGAGGTGGACTTTGAGAGCAAGATTTATTATTCTTTCCCCTTTTCCTTTTTTTTGTGTGTATGTGTATGCTTCTGTGTGAGATTTTGTCTGTATAGCTTTGCTTCCACCATTTGTTCCAGGGTTCTATCCATCCGTTTTTTTGTTTTTTGGGTTTTTTCTACTTAATAATTATTTTTTTTATTTTAATAACTTTATTATATTTTATCTTACTTTACTTTATTTTACTTTATCTTCTTTCTTTCTTTTTTTTTCTTCCTTCCCTCCTTCCTTCCTTGCTCCCTCCCTCCCTCCCTCCCTCCTTTCTTTCTACTTCCACTAATTCTTTCTTTCTACTTTTTCTCCCTTTTCTTCTGAGCCGTGTGGATGAAAGGCTCTTGGTGCTGCAGCCAGGAGTTATTGCTGTGCCTCTGAGGTGGGAGAGCCAACTTCAGGACATTGGTCCACAAGAGACCTCCCAACTGTACATAATATCAAACGGCGAAAATCTCTCAGACATCTCCATCTCAACACCAACACCCAGCTTCACTCAACGACCAGCAAGCTACAGTGCTGGACATCCTATTCCAAACAACTAGCAAGACAGAAACACAACCCCAACCATTAGCAGAGAGTCTGCCCAAAATCATAATAAGTTGACAGACACCCCAAAACACACCACCAGACGTGGACCTGCCCACCAGAAAGACAAGATCCAGACTCATCCACCAGAACACAGGCACTAGTCCCCTCTACCACGAAGCCTACACAACCCACTGAACCAACCTTAGCCACTGGGGACAGACACCAAAAACAACAGGAACTACAAACCTGCAGCCTGCAAAAAGGAGACCCCAAACACAGTAAGATAAGCAAAATGAGAAGACAGAAAAACACACAGCAGATGAAGGAGCAAGATAAAAACACACCAGACAAAACTTCCCTAATATGGGAAAGGAAATCGTTAATCAAGTCCAGGAAGCACAGAGAGTCCCATACAGGATAAATTCAAGGAGAAATACGCCAAGACACATATTAATCAAACTGTCAAAAACTAAATACAAAGAAAGCATATTAAAAGCAGCAAGGGAAAAACAACAAATAACACACAAGGGAATCCCCATAAGGTTAACAGCTGATCTCTCAGCAGAAACTCTACAAGCCAGAAGGGAGTGGCAGGACATACTGAAAGTGATGAAGGAGAAAAACCTGCAACCAAGATTACTCTACCCAGCAAGGATCTCATTCAGATTTGATGGAGAAATTAAAACCTTTACAGACAAGCAAAAGCTGAGAGAGTTCAGCACCACCAAACCAGCTTTACAACAAATGCTAAAGGAACTTCTCTAGACAAAAACACAAGAGAAGGAAAAGTCCTATAATAACGAACCCAAAACAATTTAGAAAATGGGAATAGGAACATACATATCGATAATTACCTTAAATGTAAATGGACTAAATGCTCCCACCAAAAGACACAGATTGGCTGAATGGATACAAAAACAAGACCCATATATATGCTGTCTACAAGAGACCCACTTCAGACCTAGAGACACATACAGACTGAAAGTAAGGGGATGGAAAAAGATATTCCATGCAAATGGAAACCAAAAGAAAGCTGGAGTAGCAATTCTCATATCAGACAAAATAGACTTTAAAATAAGGACTATCAGAAGAGACAAAGAAGGACACTACATAATGATTAAGGGATCGATCCAAGAAGAAGATATAACAATTGTAAATATTTATGCACCCAACATAGGAGCACCTCAATACATAAGGCAAAAACTAGCAGCCATAAAAGGGGAAATCGACAGTAACACATTCATAGTGGGGGACTTCAACACCCCACTTTCACCAATGGACAGATCATCCAAAATGAAAATAAATAAGGAAACACAAGCTTTAAATGATACATTAAACAAGGTGGACTTAATTGATATTTATAGGACACTCCATCCAAAAACAACAGAATACACATTTTTCTCAAGTGCTCATGGAACATTCTCCAGGATAGATCATATCTTGGGTCACAAATCAAGCCTTGGTAAATTTAAGAAAATTGAAATTGTATCAAGTATCTTTTCCGACCACAACGCCATGAGACTAGATATCAATTATAGGAAAAGAGCTGTAAAAAATACAAACACATGGAGGCTAAACAATACACTACTTAATAACGAAGTGATCACTGAGGACATCAAAGAGGAAATAAAAAAATACCTAGAAACAAATGACAATGGAGACACGACAACTCAAAATCTATGGGACGCAGCAAAAGCAGTTCTAAGAGAGAAGTTTATAGCAATACAATCCTACCTTAAGAAACAGGAAACATCTCGAATAAACAACCTAACCTTGCACCTAAAGCAATTAGAGAAAGAAGAACAAAAAACCCCCAAAGTTAGCAGAAGGAAAGAAATCATAAAGATCAGATCAGAAATAAATGAAAAAGAAATGAAGGAAACGATAGCAAAGATCAATAAAACTAAAAGCTGGTTCTTTGAGAAGATAAACAAAATAGATAAACCATTAGCCAGACTCATCAAGAAAAAAAGGGAGAAGACTCAAATCAATAGAATTAGAAATGAAAAAGGAGAAGTAACAACTGACACTGCAGAAATACAAAAAATCATGAGGGATTACTACAAGCAACTCTATGCCAATAAAATGGACAATCTGGAAGAAATGGACAAATTCTTAGAAATGCACAAACTACCAAGACTGAATCAGGAAGAAATAGAAAATATGAACAGACCAATCACAAACACTGAAATTCAAACTGTGATTAAAAATCTTCCAAAAAACTACTAGAGCTAATCAATGAATTTGGTAAAGTAGCAGGATACAAAATTAATGCACAGAAATCTCTGGCATTCCTATATACTAATGATGAAAAATCTGAAAGTGAAATCAAGAAAACACTCCCATTTACCATTGCAACAAAAAGAATAAAATATCTAGGAATAAACCTACCTAAGGAGACAAAAGACCTGTATGCAGAAAATTATAAGACACTGATGAAAGAAATTAAAGATGATACAAACAGATGGAGAGATATACCATGTTCTTGGATTGGAAGAATCAACATTGTGAAAATGACTCTACTTCCCAAAGCAATCTATAGATTCAATGCAATCCCTATCAAACTACCACTGGCATTTTTCACAGAACTAGAACAAAAAATTTCACAATTTGTATGGAAACACAAAAGACCCCGAATAGCCAAAGCAATCTTGAGAACAAAAAATGGAGCTGGAGGAATCAGGCTGCCTGACTTCAGACTATACTACAAAGCTACAGTAATC